TGGCCTCAGTCCCTGGGGCATCTGTGAGGCCAGCAGCAGGTATGCTAATGGAGGGGCGGCCACTCTTCTCCCACCCCCTGCCAGACCCTTGCTGCAGGACCCGTCAGCCCTGGACACTCAGAGGGGGCTGTGGACCCTCTGCCTCAGGGTGTGGCTGGGCCAACATCCTGATCCTCACAATCCGGACCTGAGCCCAGGCCAGCGGCCACCACAGCTCGCTCAGCCCAGGCTGACGGGCTCCAGCCACGCGCCCTGCTGTCAGAGCCCTCAGCGGTCTTGTCCCCCGCCCACAGCTCTGGTCATCGTCATGGAGTGGCCACCACCCCAGGCCTCTGACAGGCTTTGCACAAGGTAACGGGCTGCCGCCTGCCAGGAATAAGGACCCCACTCTCAGCTGCCTCTTCCCGTGAAGGGCCCCCCTCTTCTGGACCAGCACTCCTACTGTCCTCCCCGACCCCCCGACCCACAGAGCAAAGCCTGAGGGGCAGGTGGGCAATGAGGCACATGCCCCACCTCCCACCTGGGGCCCTGACTCCCCGGAGCCCAGCCTTCCAGAGGCGTGCAGCTGAGGCCCCAAGGCACAGCCACACCCAAAGGGCAGCCACACGCGAGGTGGCCTCCTCAGAAGGAGCTGGAAGCTTCAGGGCAGAGCGTGTCTGGCCCAGAGGCCCAGCTCGACGCAGAAGAGCCTCGGCCTGGGGCTGTCCTGGTGGGCACTGAAGAGCATGCACCCCCCAGGGAGAAGCTGGCCATCGCCACCTTCCAGTGTATTGGTAGCTACGGGGCCCACGACACCTCCTTCCCAGGACGCTGCTAAGTGTTCCCCACCGTGCTACTACACAGACCTGTCTCCCTCCCCCCAGCACACGCACACCACGCCCTGGTTCTGAACGTAGTCACGGATCCTGGGCCATCGGGGAGGAGGGGTGGAGGGGCGTGACAGCCACCCGCTCTGGAGCTCTGGCTCTGTGCCATGGTCTGTGCACCTGCATGCGCCCAAGAGTGCTCTGGCCCCCAGAAACAGCCCCGGGACCCCGGGCCTCCAGGGGCACACTCAGGACCCTGGGCGCTTCGTTGGGAGAAACATATTCCCACGTGGTGTCATGGGCTGCCTGGAGGAGGTGGATGTGCCCGTGGAACTTGGGGAGGGCTGGCCAGGGCCTCGGGGGAAGAGCCCACCTGCCCGCGGGAAACAGGCCCGGCCTGCAGGTGCACAGGGCCACCTGTGCCTTCCCCTCACCGCGGCTGGTCCCCTGGCTTTAGACCTGTGGCCGGGCAGGGACTGGAACTGCAAGCTCGAGACGCCTGCCCAAACCGCCCTGTAGCTTCTCGTTGCTGCGGGTGTCACAGCACTCCAGTAAACTGTTACCCTAATGGAGAGACAGCCTTTGGGAACGAGCTGTATTGAGAAGAGGGGATAAAATTAATGCGATAATAGCAGGGCCAAGGACCCGGGGACGCGCCGGCCCTCACGGCGAGGGCCCTGTAATTCCTTTTCTGCAGCGGGAGCCTCAGATCTAAAGGCTTCTCCCATCCGTCCGGCTCGCCCATGCCGCCAGGAAATTTCATTAACGCTGGAAAATAGGAAAGGTATTAAGCGTGGATAATGAAGGCCAGGGAGGGAGCCGTGCCTTAAGATGGTCCTCTTTCTCGCCTTTGTAATGGGAGGCATGAACTTTCCCTTCAAATCCATTTCTAATCCATTTGAAATACTACAGCAAATTATCTTTCCCTCAGCCCGAAAGCGGCCAGCCAATTTACTCCGAATAGAAGTGACAATGCCCCAGGATTTATCGCCATAACCTTGACTACACCAGGGTGAGGGCTGGGCCTCCCCTCACCTCCCCGGGGGGGCGGGTAAGAAGGACGAGTAGGGGGAGATAACATTTTAAATGAAAAGCAGTGGTAACGGAGAGAAAGACACACAACATCACAGAAGTGGGTTTAGAAAGAACTGCCGTCCCCGTGTCCACTGCATGGTGAGCAGCTAGAAAGTTCTCGGCCTGGGGCCGCCGGCCAAGGGGCTCTCCGCCTGCGCAGCCGCTCTGCCCTGCCCTGCCCTTCCCGGGCGTGGGGGCCGGCGGCGGGCCCAGGGCAGGCCACGCCAGGAAGAGAGGTGGAAGGTCCCAGGCAACAGGGGCCTAGATGGGCACATCAGGGTCTGGACAAGACAGGGGTTCTCCCTAAGGAGCCAGGGGCCACTGCAGGTGTGTCTGCTGTTGGGCATCTCGCCCACCCTGGACACCCATGCTCCCTGCTCCGTGAGCCGCAGCACTGCATAGGGCGCCCCTGCCTGCCAGGCCTGCATGGCTGACGTGGGCCCACCCGAGGCACCCACACCCACGAAACCTGGCAGCCGGGGCACAGGTATGCACAAGAGAAGTGGACGGGCCCACGGGCTCTCCGCCACCCTGCCCACCCGGTGACAGGCTCTGACAAACAGCAGGCCCTCCGGAGGTCTGTGCTCTTCCGTACCCCCGGCCCTGAGTAAAGGCCCAGGGAGTGGCTTGCTCCTGACCAAGGGCAGACTCAGGTGCAGGTAGGCCCCAGGTGAAGGAGGCGGCCTCGCCCCAGAGGCCCTGGGAATAGTCTGACAGTGGACTCGGGACGCCCTGCGCAGCCCCTCTCTGCCTGTCCTGCTGTCACTGATCGGGTAGGGCTACAGGACCACACTGGAGCTCAGGGGATCCCAGCCCCCGACTCCACTTATGCAATCTGAAGGTTTTCCAAGGCCTTGCACAGCACAGTGAATCCAGCTCTGCTGGCAGCTGGGCACTGTCACATGGATCAGAAAGGGGGACAGACGTCCCTCCTGGAGGCAGGGCCAGCACCAGGGACCCTGCACCTGGACCAGTAGGTGCTACTGTCCCACGGTGAACCCCCTTGGGCACGGGGGTGGGGGTGGTGGACTGAGGCCCGGGGGCTGCGGCCACATCCCAGGCTGGGGGGGGCCAAGGCCGTGGGTGGGGGGACACAGGACCAGGCGCAGTTGCCAGCAGAGGGGCTTGGCCAGGCTCCCGTCGGCCGGGGGAGGGTCAGTCTGTAGCCCGGGGTCCAGCAGCCTCCAGGCCAGGTGGCCCGGGGGGTGGTGACTGGGCAGGAGGGCAGGCTGGCTGGGGGGCAGAGAAAGCAACTGGGGAAGCGGTTTTCAGGAAATGGAGCGAGGTTCTGCGAAGCTTCCAGGCGAGTGGGGAGTGCGCTGTCAGCAGGAGGCGGAGGTGGCTCTGCACAGCAAATTCCAAGTAGGTCAGGCCCAGCCGCCACCGTGACAGCCGCTCGGAGCGCACTTTCCACGGAAACGCTGACGCTGGCGGGCGCCGCACAGGCCTGCGAGGGGCCTGGCCCTGGCCCTGCTCCCCCAGCCCTGTCTCCCCGCCCCCTGCCCCCAGGCCAGTCCAGCCTGTGCCCACGCTGCCTAGCAGGGTAGAGGCTCCAGTCCCCAGGGCGGAGGACAGCTCCAGTCTCAGACGTTTCCAGCTCCAGGCCAGCACAGAACAGGGCCCCTCACCTCAGGAGGCCCCAGGCTGCTGGGTGATCTATAGGGTGGTTCTGGGCGGTTCAGAGTCCCTCAGGTGAGAGACAGCCAGGCGCAGGTGTAATGAAGGTGACTAGAGCGAGCGCCACAAGGGTCTGAGAAACGGGGCTCAGTGGCCGAGGACCCAGCAGATGGCAATGGCCTCACGATGACTGTGGCCACCTGATCTCACAGAACCTGCCCCTGAATGTGGCCTACAGCCAGCTCCCGGGGCTGTGGCACCCGCGGCCGCTCCCCTGCAGCCACCTGGCTCCCTGTGTCCCTCCCGCCCGTTCCCAGCCACCTCCGGTGGAGGCAGGCCAACTGCTGGGCTTCCTAGGACACACCCTCTCAAGGCGAGCAGGTGGACCTGGGGGTCATGGGGATGTGGCGGCTGTGTGACCTGCAGGGGCGGGGACAGAACGACCGCGGAGAGGGCTGAGCACCTAAGTGGACGTGGAGGGTGGGGGGCGGTGAGGGCAGGTCCCCTGAAGGCATCGCCAGGTGCTGCTCCTTCCCGAGGGAGCCCCGCACCCCATTTCTCCCTGGCAACAAACAGAAGAGACTCGGGGCACCCCGGCCAGCTGGCCTGCTGCGGGCGACACTGATTGTGCTGCGTCCACTATAAACACTGCGGCTCTGCCGTGAGGAGCTGGACTATTTCATGTGCTCACATCTATTCAATTGGAATTTCGATCAATGGATGCATTACAAGCTTTCCCTTTAAGAGCGCAATAAACAACAAGATGGAAAGTAAAATTCTCCATAAAATGACACTTTTAAAAATCCATTTCAGCTGAAGCTATTGGTGTTTTGTACGTTAACTGCAAAAAAGAGGTATTATTTGGGCCTCAATGGCCCATAATGGCCCCACTTGGGAGCGCAGAGTTCAGATCGAGGGGCAGAGGGGCTGCGGGCCCAGGACTGGGGTGGGGCCCTCTATCCTCTGCACCCAGGTGTCACCGTCTGGGCTGGCCCATGGCAGCTGGTGAGGGGCAGGGCTGGCCCTTCTCGCGCTCCCCACCACCTCTCTCCCTCTCTCCCTTCTCTCCCTCCCAGGCCCCCGATCCCTCTCGTCCCCATGCCCCAGACCTGCTCGCTGACCATCCCTCTGACCCTGAAACGTGAGCTCCTGAGGCAGCCCCCCGACCCAGGCCCTCGCCCCACGGGGCCACGCTGGGCACAGGCTGACAGACGGACGGACGACTCAGACAGCAGGACAACCCCGGCAGCACCCGCTGAGCTCTCTGGGAGACCTCAGGAGGGCCGGGCCTGGCCTGCACCAGCCCTCCCGAAAACAGCACAGTCCTGAGAACACCCACGGGGCACCGTCCCCCACGCCAGGCTTCAGGTCCAGGCTGAGCCTCGACATTCCCTCCACGTCCCAGCCTGGGCCCTGGGGACATTTCCTCAGTCTGGACCCTCACGGCTGGACCTGCCTCCTCACCTGTCCACACAGGAACCCCTCCACGGTGCCCTCGATCCAAGTGACTTGTGTCCCTGCTCAGATCCTCCTCACCAAGGAAGAGGAGACCCAACCCAGACAGCACCCTGCTGAGCCCTGGTGGCCAGTGCCTGCCGCCCCCGCTCTAGCGGGCGCCTCTCGCTCCTTGAGGCCTCCTATCTGCCTGGTGACCTGTGTCGGGGCCTGTGTCCTCGCACTCTGCGTTGTCAGCTGAGGTGCCCATGGCCTGGCCCCACCTGGATACAGCCCCCTGCTCTGGGTGGCAGGCCCTGGCTGCTGGCACCCTGCCTGCACTCCGTCCGTGCCATGCCCCCTGGCCACGCGGGCCTGTTCCCAGCCCCGCGGCCAAGGCCACTATCTGCTCTGCTTGTACCTGCCCCCACCTGGAGCAGCATTCTCGCCCCCACCGCTCTGGTGACCCCCAAAATATTCACGCCTGTGAGTGTGTCATGAAGGAGCCCCAAGCCCCTGGATGCTGGAGGGCAGTCCAAGCCAGAGGTGACCAACAAAGTAGAAACATAAGAAGACCCAAATCAGGTATCTCGAGTGTCACCACTACCTAAAAGACTCATGAATTCCCCCGGAGGGTAAAGGGGCCGGTGGGATGTCCCCTCCTGGGACTGCACAAGGAGAGCAGACTAGTGTTCTCAGCAAGATGCCGACAGTGGCATCCACGTGAACAGCAGGGAAGACCCCTGAGTGTCAGAGGGGGGACAGGCAGCAGACTGCAAAGTGAACACACAGCAGCATCAACAGCCGTCCAAGGTGCTAGCAAGACCCGCTGGAAAAGGGATGCAAACAGAAACAAAGGGAAATGCTGCACAGGCGTCCCAGCGCCATGCAGAAGCCGCAGAACACCCCCTGCAGCACCGAGGACTGGGGGACCAGCCTCGCCAGCTCTCCCCAGTCCGCGTGCGGCGGTGAAACGTGAGAAGTATAAACGCAGTTTGGCTGGCTGGGGAAGGCTGAGACACGGCCGGCACTGCTCTGGTCACCTGGAAGGACACACATGCAGAAGGGAGGGGGAGGACAGGGGGACAGCAGAGGTGAGGGTGGACGCGGGCCCAGGAACAGCGGTGTCTCCGGGACAGGGCTGGGCGTCAACAGAACGTGCAGCTGGGAGGCGGCCAGGCACCCTGACCCCTACCTCTGACCGCAAGCCAGAGAAGACCACAGGTCCCCGAGAAGGACCGCGGGCTGGAACGTGAGTGCTAACCTAGTCCACTCTCCAGAAGAAAACACGACCTCGGCAGGCACACCTTTCTGAGACCGGGCAGGAGAGCACCAGGCACAGGAAAAAGGACCGATGAGTCGCACGTCGTCGGAACGCCAGCCCAGACCGTGAGGAGCTCAGGGAAGAACGTACCCATGGCATATAGAGGACGCCGGCAAACCGATGAGAAATAAAGCGACACGGACATGGGCTAGGACAGAACGACAGCGGGCCCCAAGCGTCTCCACGAGGGCGCGTTCGGACCAGCCTGGCTACAAAGGAACCACAGCCCAGCAGGTGCCAGTGCGGCCACGGTGCGAAGCACTCAGACCGCTGTGCCAGTGCGGATGGGAATGGCCACCGCGGACACTGGCCCATCTGCTGCAACACAGCGTCCGCCCACCCTCTGAGTTGGCCATTCCATGGGATCAGGGGTTCCTGGTCACTTGACGACAGGACTGAGAGCAGCGAAGGCTAGAAATAACCCCAGTAGCCCCAGGAGCAAAACAGATGACCCGCTGTGTCTGCACGGAGGGCAGGATGGAGCCAGGGAGAGCGAGCCACCCGCCCCTACCCGGCAGGGCAGCCCGAGCAGAGGCACCGCATCCCAGTCGGCTCGGCCACCTGACACGTCACAAGCCTGCGGCTTAAACAACAGAAGCTGCTTTCCTCACAGTTCTGGAGGCCGGAAGTCCAAGGTCAAGGTGCCAGCAGGCTGGTTCCCAGTGGGGCCTATCTTCCTGGCTGGCAGACCAGATGGCGCCTCTCGCAGTGCTCACATGGTCTTGCCTCTGCATTTGCAGAGAGAGCTCTGGTGTCTCCTCCTCGCACAAGGACACCAATCCCACAGGAGTAGTTAGGGCCCCGCCCTGATGACCTCATTTAATCTTAATTACCTGTGTAAAGGCCCCACCTTCAAATATAGCCTCACTGTGGGTCGGAGCTTCAGTCCCTAACAGATGCTGAGCAAAATAAGTTAGCCCCGAAACAGTGCCTCTGCATGATTCCATCTGCACGAAGCTCGAGAACTTCGCGATGGGGCCAGTCTAGCCCGACAGGCTAGAGGAGGGGCCCCCTGCGGGGTGCGCCCACCCTGACTTAGGTGGTGGGTATACAAGATAAAATCTGCAGAACGGACCCCTGAAGACACAAACCACGAACGTTCTGCAAGGGGAAATCGAAGAGGAAGCCGAGCACAGGAATGAGCACTTGCTCCTGGTGGACTTGCCGCAAGGTGAAGGCGACACTGTCAAACACGGGAAAAGCCTGACTATTTAATAACTGGTCCCGAGGCAACCAGGCAACCACTGAACACAATTAAATTTGAACTTTAACCTTACACCATGTCCCCAAATAAATACCCGGTAGCTTCGTTTCAAATATAAAACTTGAAGCAATAGCTCTAGAATAAAATATAACGGAATTCACATAATCTGAAGGAGAGAGGGGCTGTTCTAAGCAAGTCAATGCGTCCTAAGACAATGACAGATTTAAGGACACAGAAAAGTAAGCATTCTGTTAAAAATCCTCAAACGAAACTGAAGGACAAAATTGAAATTGCAAAAAAAATGTATAATCTGTGAAAAAAGGGTAGCACTGGGGACCTAGACTCTTCGAACATGTAAGAAACAGACCAGAGGCAAATGGACAGTGAGCGTGAAAAACGCTGAACTCAACAGAGGGCAAGAACAAAGCTGAGACTGCACAGGGCAGCATTCTCCTCCCCCGAGGAGACCTCCCGCCCTGCGGCCAGACCCCAGATGGGCCCATCTGGATGAACGAGCCACTGAGGTAGGCAAGAAGAGGGGTGGTTTCAACCGCAGGCCTCATGGGGACCAGACTGGTGTCGCCTCCTCCAAGAAGCCTTCCAGGCTGCAAACACCAGAGGGCAAAGGCCATCTGTGGGAAATGGAGGCAGCACCGAGTCAGAGCGGGTACCTGAACACTCCTGTGGCTGACGCGTAGCAGGGACCTCGCCAGAACGTGCTGGCACCCACTAGGCAGAGGGCGGGCCAGGTATAAAGCACTCGGGGTGGGTTGGGTGGCCACTGGTGGTGCAAAGTGCTGAATTCAAGGACCCCAGAAGGCAGAGAGGCACAGGCACCCTTCCAGCCCCGCCCACACGCGCACCCCATGCGGGGTGGGGCCGGGAGGTAGGCGGGGCCTCAGATGGGGTGGGGCCTGGAGTCGCGCCCCAGCCCACCCTTCCCCCAGAGGAGCCTGGCTGGCAGAGGGGGCAGAGCCCAGGCCATAATTTATGCTTCCCCGCCTATGCTTTATGGCTTTCTTAACTCGGCTCCCGCTACTATTAATGTAGTTAACGCTGAGATTACATCTATTTTCTGGCGTCGGGAGGTGATTTAGTGAGGCCACTTTTCCGGCGGAGGCGCCCGCACTGCTAAATCAAGCGCCTTGCCAATTAAGTGCTGACTTGGGAAGTGGGCACAATCTTAACAGACGTCTGACCACAAATTAGACCGGGCTCCTGACTCTGGGGAGTGCGCGGGGCAGCCACGGAAACCTTGCTGACTTCGAAGAAAGTCGGAGAAAAATAAAACCGCTCTGCCCCTGCCTGCTGGCTCTTGGTGCAGAGCCAGCCTCAACAGGGGCTGGGGTCCAGGCCCCACCTGGCTGTGGTGACTGCCCTGTGAGTGAAGGGAAGGTAGGGGTCATGCGGCCTGTCCCCACACAGAAGTGTCTGCCACTGGGAGCAACTAAAATGACGTTCAGATGTGCCCGTGATGCCTGACCCATTGCCCAGTCTGCACCCGGGTGTGTGCACAGGCCCTTGGACAGCGCTTCAGCAATCTGGTCCTTGTCGGAGCCCAGAATGAGGAGCGAGGGCCCCCTGGAGGAGAGGCTTGCCCAGAGTCCATCTCAGAGGACACACAGTGGCAGATCTGGGGGAGCAGGTACAGAAGGCAGGGAGGGAGGAGAGAAGGTAGCCGCCAGAGCCTTGATGAGACAGGCACTCCCAGGGCCCAGGGCCCCCTTGGTGCCCCCACACCCCACGGGAGTCTCCCGGCCAGAGGGCCCATTAACGATATGAGGCAGGGCAGATGCCAGGGAGGGCCGGGACGAGGCGGTGGCCAGGCCACCTGAGGCTGGCCAGGAACCTGAGAGGGTACCTGCTTGTAAGAGCCCTTGGCCATGGTCCCCAGCAGCTGAGTCGCCTCAGACCCTGCAGCCAACACAGGGCGCCCGTCTTCCTGTGTCCCCAGACCTGCCTCCCTTGCCACCTGCAGAGGCCCTGGCCCAGTCCTGAGACTGAGTGAGGTTTTGGGGCAGTATCAGGCTGGCAATTGACATATGTGAAGAGTTAAATGTGATATTGATGATCTGAATGGTACTTTACAACCACCTCTAAAACCAGGATAAAAGTAGTGTTTAAAATAGTGTTTGACTGTGTCAAGGGCAGTATTTTCAGCTTTCTCTGCTCTCCGTTTCCAGGGACATCCAGGAGCACCAGTGCGGACACACGAGGGCCCAGGTGCTGGCAAAGTGTGGCCAGGAGGCACGGGCGCAAGCCAAGGGCAACGTCCTGGGGTTTCACTCCCGAGGCCCCCGCCCAACAGTCCTGCTGCTTTCAGAACGGAAGGGACGTGCTCTCCAGGCCGTCAGGCCCACCCGCCGCCCTGAGCTGCAGGACTCCACGATGGTGGCCGTCTTACGGGGCCCTGCATGGCCCTGACCACTGGGGCTGGAGCAGCGAGGGGGAGGGAGGGGGGCGGCCTGGGCTGCAGGGGACCGCGGGCAGGAGCCCTTCCAGAGCAGGAGCAGCACGGAGTGACACTGCACGGCCTGCGACTGCCCAGCGGGCCCTGGGAGCCCGGCGCGGCCACGTCTCCTCGCGTCCTGCCTGCGCTGGGAAGCCCGGGGCCTCCCTGCTCCCGGCTCCCCACGCCGAGAGGAAAAGCAAGAGCACCAGGCGCCGGGAGCAGGGCAGGGACGCGCACGTCTGTGGAGGGAGAGCGGGCAGGTGAGGCTCACGTCTGTGGAGGGAGAGCGGGCAGGTGAGGCGCACGTCTGTGGAGGGAGAGCGGGCAGGTGAGGCGCACGTCTGTGGAGGGAGAGCGGGCAGGTGAGGCGCATGTCTGTGGAGGGAGAGCGGGGCAGGTGAGGCACACGTCTGTGGAGGGAGAGCGGGCAGGTGAGGCACATGTCTGTGGAGGGAGAGCGGGCA